TCTCTGGAAGGTAGACTGCAGACACAGGGAAACCAGTGAAGAGGCCATTGCAGAAGCCCAGGTGGGAGATAACAGCTCAGCTTCACATTGGGTTTGGCTTACATGTTTTTTTTTTTTGAGACAGAGTCTCACTCTGTCACCCAGGCTGGAGTGCAGTGGTGCGATCTCTGCTCACTGCAAACTCCACCTCCTGGGTTCAGGCCTCAGCCTCCTGAGTAGGAGTAGCTGGGACTACAGGCGCCTGCCACCACGCCTGGCTAATTTTTTCTTTTTTTGTATTTTTAGTAGAGACGGGTTTTCACCGTGTTAACCAGGATGGTCTCGATCTCCTGACCTCGTGATCCACCCCCCTCGGCCTCCCAAAGTGCTGGGATTACAGGCGTGAGCCACAGCGCACGGTAGGCTTACATCATTTTTACTAGGCTACACAGAACTCATCCTGAGGCTCGGCCATCTCATTCTTTCCCAAAGCAGAATTGTTTGCTCTAAATGTTAAAGAAAATGAGAGGCTCATTGATTCCAAGGACGGTGCTGGGCTGGTGGAGGATGTGGGTGTCCCTGCAATGTCTCACTGCCCTACCTCTCTTGTCCTCCCTGAGCAGCATAAAGGTCTCAACCCCTCTTCATGCTCTTCATTGTCATTGTAGGTTATTGGTTCCAGAATGGAATGTCCTCTCCTTTTCTCTTTCTGTTTGTAAATCAAAAATTCCTTTTGTCTTCCAAAGTAATGTTGAGCATGCAGCAATTGTATCTCTAAACAGCCCCGTCAGGGACATTCTGTATTTTGTTGGAGTTGATCCAAAGGTCCTGATAGATGAATTTAGAATTGTCTTTTATTGGTCCTCAGAAGAGTTTTATTAGGTACATGGTGGACCTGGGGAAACTTGTTGGGACTTGTAGGTTATATAATTCTTTTAGCTTCATTGCTAGAATGCTTGGGACTTTTAACCATGACTTCATTGCTCCTGAATATGGGTTTCATGCATCTGGTTGCTTGGCTGTTTTCAGAAAGTAGGGGTAATAGTCCCATTAATATATCATCTTTTCCATGATTAGAAAAGAAACCTGAGAATGCTTTCCTAGCAAGTATGTAGACACAGTTTCCTCCAACACCTGTTCTTTCAAGTCATGAGACATTTGAAAATAACTCCACAAGTTCCTGCATCTGAGCCTGTCTTTTGAATATCTATTTGAGCAACATGAAGTTTTGCTAGTGTGAGCTAATGTCAGCATGCACCCTCTTTCTCACTGCCTGTGGATTCAAGTACGGCAAAGGCCTGTTGATTTGGAATGACCAGGAGATGGCTTATTTTGGTTCTGTATCATTAATCGACAGATGTGTAAACAGATTTTTAAAAGTAAAATGCCTAATGTCACACTGCTATTACATTAAGGAGCTAGGATTCTGATTCCCTATTCTAAACATTCATCCACACTGTAATGCTTTGGAAAATTTAAAAATTATGCAACAATGCACTCTGATTGTGAAAGAAATGAGAAAACATAGATGGAAAAAAAGAAATGAACCTCAGAAATTCCACTATTCAGCGATAACCACTGTTAACATTTTCAGGCACTTCTTTTCAGATTTTTTTTTCTACAAAATATAATTGCAAATGCATTTTCAGAGATACTGCTTTACAATTTCCTTTTTCCCTTTAATAATATTTTGGGTTTTGTTCATGTTCTTCTAAATCAGAACATAGATCTGCATTATCATTTTAAAAACTTGCATTGTTTTCCATTCCAGGATGCTAGTACTAATTATTAAATATTTCATTATTTTTTTTTCTCCTCCTGAGCTTGACTACTGTGTTAGTCTGTTCTCATGCTGCTAATAAAGACATACCTGAGACTGGGTAATTTATAAAGGAAAGAGGTTTAATTGACTCACAGTTCCACATGACTGGGGAGGCCTTGCAATCATGGTGGAAGGCAAGGAGGAGCAAAGTCGCATCTTACATGGATGGCAGCAGGCGAGAGAGCTTGTGCAGGGGAATCCTCTTCATAAAACCATCAGCTCTCCTGTGACTTATTCACTGTCAGGAGAACAGCACAGAAAAGACCTGTCCTCATGATTCAGTTACCTCCCACTGGGCCCCTCCCATGATACATGGGAATTATGGAAGCTACAATTCAAGATGAGCTTTGGGTGGGGACACAGCTAAACCATATCAACTACCAATTGATTAACCAAATCCCTCAGTTTTAGGATATTTATTGAATGTTAATAATATTTCAAGTTTGCACTATGCACTTTACATATTTTATTTAGGTAACTTGCTTATAATTTCTTGATAATACTGACTATCCTTATTCTTTATATACATTTCTGTAGGATTGTACACTGATTATTTAAGGGCTTTTCATAAATATTGCCAGAGTATGCCCCAGAAAGGTTCTAACAATTTACATTCACAAAGCACAAAGCATCCAGAGTGTTTAATTCTCTACATCCACACAATCAATTGGTATTATCAACTTTTAAAATCTTTTCTAATCTTCTAAGGAAAAATGGTAACTCATTCTTTCACCTTGGAATTCTTTGATCACTAGAGAAGCAGAATTTTATCTCTTGATGTATTCATATTTTTCTCTAAAATATTTTAAATCCTATATATTTGAACATATTAGAAAGTATACTTTGGCCGGGCATGGTGGCTCATGCCTGTCATCACAGCACTTTGGGAGGCCGAGGTTGGGACTACAGGTGCCTGCCACCATGCCTGGCTAATTTTTTGCATTTTTACAAAACAATGCTACAGTTAATATCTTTTTACATATGTCTTTACAAAGAAATTGATTTTTATGGAACACACAGGAATGTTATTGCTAAGTGGCCTAAGTGTGGGTGTGCGTTTTACCTCTAAGAAATGATGCCAGATTGCTTTGCCGGAAGGTCCAAACACGTCCCCTTCCCACAAGCAATCTCAGAGAGTACCCATTTCATTACATCCAGCCAGCAATAGCTGTTATGGCATTTCAAATTGTTATCAGTCTGATGGATGGTAGTGATAATCATATTGTTACTGCAATTTGCATGTCCATGGTTACTACTTGTGAATTTGTATATCTTTTCATTTGTTTGTTTGCCACTGATTTACCCATCTGTGAATTGTCTTTGCCCATTATTTTATTGGGTTACTTGTTTCTTATGTATTTGTAAGAGATTTTTGCATACTATAAATAAACTTTTATTTTATTTTATTTTTGAGATGGAGTTTCACTCTTGTTGCCCAGGCTGGAGTGCACTGGCGTGATCTTGGTTCACTGCACTCTCTGCCTCCTGGCTTCAAGTGATTCACCTACCTCAGCCTCCCAAAGTGCTGGGATTATAGGTGTGAGCCACCACGCCTGGCTGAAAATCTGCTAATTAAAAAAAATATTTATTTTGAATTCAGAAATTAGAACAAATTTTAAAATTAATTTTACAATTTTTTACTACAATTTTTGATTTTTTTTCTATGCATGCAGGTATACAATCATGTAACCACCAAAAATAGTTTTTTTCTCATCTTTTCGAATACTTCTGCCAGTTATTTGTTTTCATGTTATATATACTATAATACCTGTAATAGCATTAACATAATGTGAAACAGATCATCTTTATCTAGTTATGATTTTAAAATTTGCTGCTAGCTTTTAGAAAATTTCTTTGTTGAATTTAAGTGGTTTCTTTCTAGCCCTATTTTAGTAAAGACTGGCTACTGAATTTCGTCAAATGCCTTTTAAGTATTTATTGATAGGATATGTGCTTTTATCTTTTGCTTTTTTGCTGCACTTAATTCAATGGATGTATTAATTTCCTGATAGTAACCTACCTATTATTCCTGAAATAGACTCTACTTAGTCTTTTGATATATTGAGAGATTCTCTTTCCTAATACTTATTTAGAATTTTTGCTTTTATAGTTATAAGTCAGATTTATTTCTGGTTTCTTATTTTGCTTCTATTTTTCTTGAGTTTGGACATTGGATTTTAAAATTCTGTTCCAATAGTCTATGTAACTATTTTTATACCAGTATCATACTATTTTGGTTACTATGGTTTTGTAATATATTTTGAAATCAGAAAGTATTGATGTTTCCAGCTTTGTTCTTCTTGATAAAGATAACTTTGGTTATATAGGGTCCTTGGGTAAAGAAAATGTGGCACATATACACCATAGAATACTATGCAGCCATAAAAAAGGATGAGTTCATGTCCTTTGCAGGGACACGGGTGAAGCTGGAAACCATCATTCTCAGCAAACTATCACAAGAACAGAAAACCAAACACCGCATGTTCTTACTCATAAGTGGGAGTTGAACAATGAGAACACAGGGACACAGGGAGGGGAACATCACACACCGGGGCCTGTTGCGGGGGTCGGGAGCTAGGGGAGGGATAGCGTTAGGAGAAATACGTAATGTGGGTGACGGGTTGAGGGGTGCAGCAAACAACCATAGCACATTATACCTATGTAACAAAACTGCACATTCTGCACATGTACCCCAGAACTTAAAGTAAAAACAAATTTTATGTGTAATGGGGTCTTTTGTGATTTTAGGATTGTTTTTTCTTTTTCTGTAAAGAATGCCATGCATTGAATTTGTGGATCACTTTGGATATTTTTACAACATAAATTCTTCCAACCCATGAACAAGGGTTGTCTTTCCATTGGTCTGTGTCTTTAATTTAATCACGAAAGTTTTACAGTTTTCAATGGACAAATCTTAACCTTTTTGGTTAAGTTTATTCCTATTTATTTTTTCTGCTATTGTAAATGGGATTGTTTTCTTCATTTCCTTTTTGAATAGTTCATCGTTAGTATATAGAAATATCATCTATTTTTTGTGTGTTGTTTTCGAATCCTGCAACTTTACTGAATTTGTTTATCAGTTCTTTCTGTGGAGTCTTTAGGATTTACTTTATATGAGATCATGTAATCTGCAAACACAGGCAATTGTACTTATTTCTTTCTGATTTGGTTGCCCATTACTTTTTTTTTTTTTTTCTAGTTCCTCTGGCTGTATCAAATAAAAGTATCAAGAGTGAGCATCCCTGCCTTGCGCTGAATCACAGAGGAAAACCTTTCAGTTTTTCTCCATTGATTATGATGTTAGCAGTGGGCTTTTCACATGTGGGCTTTATTGTGTTGAGGTAAGTTCCTTCTGTAACCATTTTGTTGAGTTTTTATCATGAATGATGTTGATTTTGTCAAATGCTTTTTCTGCATCTGTTGAAATGATCATGTGGTTTTTATCTTTCATTCTGTTAATACGATGTAGCACATTGATTGATTTGCATATATTAAACCAGCCTTGCATTCCAGGAATAAATTCCAATTGTTCATGATGTATGATCTTTTTGATGTGTTGTTGAAAACAGTTTGCTAATATTTTATTAAAATTTTTGCATCCGTCAGAGATATCAGCCTTAGTTTTCTTTTCTTGTGGTATATTTGTTTGGCTTTGGTATTAAGGTGATGCTGGCCTCGTAAAATGTGTTTGGAAGAATTCCCTCTAGTTACATTTTTTGGAAAAGTTTAAGAAGGAATGTTATTAATTCTTCTTTGAATGTTTAGTAGAACTCAGCTGTGAGGCCATCTGGTCCTGGGCTTTTCTTTGTTGGGAGGTTTAAGTTACTACTTCAATCTCTTTATCTGTTACGGGTTTGTTCAGGCTTTCTATTTTTCCCTGATTAAATCTTTGTGGTTTGTGTTTTCCTAAGAATTTATCCATTTCCTTGAGGTTATCCAATTTGTTCATATATATTGGTTTGTAATAGTCCCTTATGATCCTTTTAATTTCTTAGGTATCTGTTGTAATGTCTCCACTTTAATTTCTGATTTTATTTATTTAATTATTCTTTCTTTTTTATAGTTAGTCTGGCTAAGGGTTTGTCAATTTCAACTTTTCAAAAAATCAACTCTTGTTGATTTTCTCTGATTTTTTCCATTCTCTATTTTATTTATTTCTGCTCTTATCTTTATTGTTTCCTTCTGTCTGCTAATTTTGATATTGCCATTATGTATCAATTTGGGGAGAACAATTTTGAGTCTTCCAAACTAGTTTGGTATGTATCTTTAATTGTGTAAATATTCTTTAATTTTTCTCAGTAATATTTTATATTTTTCTGTTTATAGATCTTACAATCTTTTGTTTAATTTATCCCTAAGTATATTTTTATGCAATTACACATATTTTAACATTTTGATTTCCAAATATTCATTGCTTGTGTATGAAATAAAAATGGACTTTTTGCAAATTAATTTTATCCTACAATCTTGAGTTTATTTGTTAGTTCTAGTAACTTTTTTTTTGTAGACCTGTTGGATTTTCTACATAGACGATCATGTCATCAGTGAATAACAATAGGTTTACTTCTCACTTTCCAATCTGGATGTCTTTTTGGAGACAGTTAGTATAGAATTGATTTTCTATTTTCTTAAATGTTGGTAGAATTGACCAATAAAAGCATCTGGGCCAGGAGTTTTCTTTGGGAAGGTTTTTATCTATAAATTCACCTTTTGATATATATATAGGACTAATGAGGTTACCTATTTTTTTCTTGAGTGAGCTTTGATAATTTGTATATTTCAAGAAATTTGTCCATTTTTTCCTTATGTTGTTGAAATTATTGACATAAAATTGCTCATAGTATTCCCTTATTATCATCTTAATAACTGTCAAATTTGTAGCATTGTTATTTTTCTTGTTCCCAATATTGTTAATTTATTAAAGTGTGATTTCTATAAATGGCATGTGGTTAGGTTGTGTTCTTTAATCCAGCCTGACGATCTCTGCTTTTTAATTAGGATGTTTAGACCATTTACTTTTAATGTTATTACTTTTAATGTTATTACTGATATGATTAGGTTTCTTTAAAATTATTTTATATTTTTAGAGACAGGGTCTTTCTCCATTGACCAGGGTGGAGTGCAGTGGAGTTCGAGTGCAGCCTCAAACTCCTGGGCTCAAGCAATCTTCCCATCTCAGCCTCCCTAATAGCTGGAATTACAGGCATAAGCCACCATGCCCAACTAGTTTTTAAAAAAAATTTTTGTAGAGATGGGACCTTGCTATGTTGACCAGGTTGGTCTCAAACTCCTAGCCAAGAGTAATCCTCCCACCTTGGCCTCCTGAAGTGCTGGACAGATGTAAGCCATGGTGACTGGCAGATATGGTAAGATTTATATCTGTGTTTCTATTTGTTTCTCTGTTTTTTTATTCCATCTTTCCTTGTTTTAATTATTAAGATATTTTGAGGCACTAAAAGTCTTACTCATGTAAAATCAGAACTTCAACTTTATATTGAATCCAAAATTTCTTCCCTTACCCTGTGCAGATGATCAGTGGCTCAAGGACGCTTTCCTTCTCCCAGATCTTTTATTTTTCTTCCCCCACTCTTTCCAATGCTCAGGCTTCTTGAAGGTTGGATTGGGAGAAGCTTGATCAGAGTGAAGAAGGCCATGACTCTTTTTATTCAACAGTAGCAAGAGCAACCCAAAATCTTTGTTTATACATTATTTATGGAAGTTTCGAGTGTTTAGCTAATTGAAAGCTTTAGCTATTAAAAAGAAGACCCTGGTATTAGTCTCTTTACAACTGTTGCAAGCCTGTTGAGTTTGAGTGCTCAGAGACAATGTATGTTAGAGCTTGGTGTACAGTTGCTTACCTTAAATAGATTAGGCATTAGTAATTTAATTCTTCACTGAGTTTTACCATTCTGAACTAAGATATCATGTTGTTAAAGTAATGAGAGCTATAGTAACACAGCAAGAAAAAAAAAAGTTTTTATTTTTATTTTTATTTTTTTGGAGACAGGGCTTTGCTCTGTCACCTAGACTGGAGTGCAGTGGCACCATCTTGGCTCACTGCAACCTCTGTCTTCCAGGCTCAAGCAATCCTCCCACCTCAGCCTCCTGAGTAGCTGGGACAACAGGCACATGCCATTATGCCCAGTTAATTTTTGTATTTTTTATAGAGACAGGATTTTGCCATGTTGCCCAGGTTGGTCTCAAACTCCTGGGCTCAAGCTATCTGCCCACTTCAGCCTCCCAAAGTGCTGGAATTACAAGCATGAGCCACTATGTCCAGCCAATAAAATTATGTTAACATCTATGTAATGTCCAATGTTGGTTCTCTTTCAATAGGTAATTCTCTTCTAAGTCGTCATTTATAGCTCTTTCTTGGGCTTCTTCCATCTGTGGCTCTGCCATCTCTGACCTAGGACTTCTAAGGTTGCCACACCCATCTACGTCAAACTGACATTGCTTCAGAAATTTTATATGCTAAGTCCTGGGGATGGTATACATCACTTCTGTTCATATTTCATTGGCTGGCCTTCAGTTATGGCTAACTTCAAGGGAGGCTGGGAAATTGGGGCAAGAATAGAAAATGCTTGGTGAAGAGCTAGCTAGTCTCTGTGTAGGAGTGTTTTTGTTATAAGGATTTTACATATTTAAATTTAAAAGTCCATGAACATGGTTTTTCATCTCTGTCTTCTGTGGTAGTATGTTGACATCATATGGCCAGGTCACTCACCACCTCCTCCCCCCACCAGCCCAAGGAAACTCAGTCTCAATAAGGATGTTTCTTGGGGAGGGGGAAGGTAGCTCATCACACTAACACCAAATCTCTCAGAAGTTGCAAAGCTTGGATTTTTAAGAAAACGTAAAGGGACTAAAGCTTTATAATGAACATTTTAAACAGAAAAGAACAGATGTAATAGAACTCTTATTAAAGTCAAGCAGTAATATCTTCATACTTCATGCTGAGAATTTTTTTCTTTTTCTTCAACTCTTGAATGTCTTTTTAATGATTTTTAACAATTTAAATGTAGAAACATATGTTCTATTTTCCAGAGTTCTGATTTTAGACAAAAAGGCATTTGTATAAAGAATCCTTTAGAGTGTTTATACATGACTCTATGTTTAGTATTTTTCTTACAAATCTCAATCCCCTGGAGTCATGGGGCACTCAGAGCCCAGGGACTCAAGTTCACCATTAGTTTAATGGTTTTGACCTCTGCTCTAAAGTGGATTTGTACAGAGAGTCATGCCTTGCATGTCCTAGAGTCATTAGCTTGGCATGAAATGGTTCTACTGCTTATGTTGCAGTATAATTGTTTCTGAATTGGGCTTCTGTAAAATGATTATGTCTACTCGAAGACCTGAAGAATTTAAGAGCAAACTGCTCATGGGGCGACAGCATTTGAGGACTGGCAACTGGATAATCTTATGTGTAAACCAGAACCTAACTTTCTCTACTCATTTAGTTACCTAGGGTACTGGCTCACTTAAAGATTTGAGAGGCATCTCTTTTCAAGATTGGTATTTCCCACCATGGCTATGGAAATTGTTCTCTATGTTGGCCAAGCTAGCTCTGAGCAATCTTCTGGGAACTTAACATAGTTTATTATTGAATATTTTGTTCATTAGTTTAGGGTCCTAAGTATGTCTCAGCTTTTTGATATAATGTCTCCAATAGTGATATTTATTTTAACGCATATACTAGAAGCCAAAGCTTCATTAATTTGACAATGATTTGCTACATGCTTACTACAGGCCAGGTGTCTACAATAAAAAATCTGCATCAGATAACTTTTGAATGATAAGGTGACCATATTCTGGCCAAAGGGAAGACTTAAATTGAATAAATAAATGTTGCAGTATGTTAGAAAATGGTAAATGTCATGAAGGAAATAAATGGGAGTAGTAAGTTTAAGGGCTGGTAGATATTGCAATATTAAATATGGTAGTCAGGGAGGGTGTTATTGATTATGTGACATTTGAACAAAAACTTAAAGGAGCTGAGGAAAGAGCATTCCAGGCAGAGATGAGAGCAAACTAACTTATTTGAGGAACAGCAAAGAGGCCAGCTTTTGTTACTAGTGATAGAGAATGAGGGGACCCTGATAGGAGATGAGGCCAGAGAAGCTGAGTTCTGGGGTGGGAATAGGGTGAGGGGAGCAGAAGAGAGTAAGTTCTGACTAGGAGCAACACCTGAATTTTGTGGCATCCTGGAGGCCAGGCAGAGAAAACGTATGGAAGAGGGAGTGATGGACTCTGCCAAAAGATGCTGGTGGGTCACACAAGGCTCAGTCTGAGAACTGACCACTGGGCTTAGATCTGCATTGAGTAGGTGTAGTGGGTTCAA